AAAAGGAGAGCACAGAACAGGCATAGTGACAATAATTTGGAAGCATAGGGAAAGATGACAAACTTCATAGGGAGAGATTAGGAAACTGTACTTTAACCACTTGACATCTGGAACAATTTTTACATTTTTCACACAAATGTTAAAATCTTCATATGTTGCTAAAAATACTTAAAGCCCCCAAACACTTATATAACTATTTTTCTGAAAGCAGATACCCTATAGAATAGATGGCAGTTGGCACCACATACTGTGGTCCTGGGCTCCTTGGAGGAGTAGGAGAGTCTGGGAACCATGGCAAAGGGGTGTTCGATCGAGATGGTGATTTACAGCCCTATGGCCACCCAGATAACTTTTACTAGATAGCTGGGAGCCCACTGAAGAAAGCAATTCAAACATTAGCTGTTTTTGTTCTTGCTATTAAGGCTTTTTTTAACCTTTTATTTTATGGTTGATTTGAGGTCACTTAAAAAATGCATTTGCTTTTGTTCCGGTTTTTTTCGCTGCAAGGCTTCCTTTACAAAAGAAAATGGGCTTTTGTTTTAAGGGTTGTATTTTGGGGTTTTAATTTATTTTTTGAGTTTTTTATTTTATGCTTACAGTACCTATTTTAAGTTTGGGGAGTTCAATGCAGAGCATTAATTTGTTACTGATCATCTGTTCTTGGAGATGCCTTCGGTTTGCAGCACTCCACTGCATCATTTGAAAGAAAAAACTAAGTGTGAGCAGTATGCAGCCGAACCACCTTACATTATCACTCACATTCACTGCACCCCCTATCCCCGTATATAAAATAAAAGTTAGGCATACACCAGTTTGGCCTATTATCCCTGATTAAAACTGCCCTGCTGCTGGCCAATTGTACACTGCTGTATGCTTTAAACCTTGTAGTAAAACACCTGCCAGCAGCAGAACATTACAAGAACAGGGACGGCCACGGCGTACTAGTTGCCAATTTCTCCCTGCTGTTCAAAGTGGGTATATTTCTCCCCACACTGTATGTTTTTTTGTTTTTTTTTAATTTGCATTGGTACATGTCTATTGGTAAATGGTTCCCCATGGCAGCACCCAGCTTCCCATGCCTTTTGTTACAGTAGTTTCCCTATTAGGCCTAAAAATGGACAGAATTTAACAACAGGATTTCTCTGCCACAGACTTCAATGGGATTCACCTAATAATGGCCAGAACAAAAAACAAATGCAGTGAATTTGTTTCTCAATCTTTTCATAGAGGCATTTATATAATATTACCAAAAATAAATCAATAAAATACGAATAGGAAGTAGCCGGACATGTTGGTGTAGAAAGTTCCAAAGGATGGGAGAAACTCTGGAGAAGTCCTTGAGGCGAGCATAGGAGCAATTGTTGAGGGAGCTAGGGAGCAGAAGGTCTTGGGAGGACGGTTAGGATAATATTTTGAGACAAGGTTGGAGATTGCTTTGTAAGTGTTAATATTTTGAATTTTATTCTTTGGGTGAGTGGAAGCCAGTGGAGGGATTGTCAGGGAGGGGTTGCAGACACTGAGCATTTGGTGAGGTTTCTGATTCATTGCATTCTTCTTTCCAGCAGATATAATCTGGTCTATGGGTGTTATTAAAGAGATCGGGGGTTTCATTGGTAAGGTTGACTGTTATACCTTTCTCACAACTGGTGGATACCTCAAATCTATCCCCTTTACCGAAGCTGAGGTTGAAACACACCTGCGGGCCACCTAGCTGCCCAGACACCCATACAGGATTCGCCAGCGTGGTGCAAGGTGGTTTTAATATTAAAACTATAACTGATGTTACCCACTAGGAATGTATCGTTAAGTCCTATCGACAAATGTCTCCGGGGGGTCTTGGCTAATGGGCTTCCAATCACTGCAAACGGCCACACCGGCCCGTTCGGCAGTTGTCGAACAAGCACGATTCCCGTACGATTCTCGGCGAGTTTTCAAGCCTGCTTGTTCGACGGAAGACGTGCGACCGTACAGTAGAAACGGTCGCACGTCTTCCATACACTGTACGATTATCGTACGATTGCGGGATTTAACGTGATTCTCGTACAAGAATCGTACAGTATATGGGCACCTTAAGGATGCAAGGTAAAAACAGTCATTGTAGTCAACTTGTAAGACAAAAATACTTTTTTACTGGTAAGTTAATATTAGGACTTGTAGTTCCACAACACTTGAAGACACAGGAAGAAAAGTGATAACCTGAGGTTGGGTGGAAGTTGTTGTTTTAGAGCTGGAAATGTTTACTTCCTCAGGTCAGGTTTTTATTATTGCTTGTGTGTTACCCCTCAAATGTGTTTTTTAGGCTTTCCTCAATAGACTCATAATAAACCTCACAGTTATCACCATCCTGAAGCTCGTGTTATTTTAAGGAGTAATAATCTGCCTGGTAATCTTCATAAATTGACTTTTGCATTGATTTTATCTCAATGGACATTAAAATAATGCTGACAGTGTTATAACAGCACTTGTAGGGGTAAAACGCCACTAATTACAGAGCAGGCTAAATAAAGTGTTTTATGCACCTCTGTGAATTGAGCCTTTAGAGTTATAATCTATTTAAAGAGTGCTATAAGAAAATAATGGACAAACAATACAGAATCTGCATTGTGAATTGAGCCTTATCTTTCTGTTGGCAATACTTGAGTTCTCTTCCCTTCCTGTCATCCTGGTGACAGCGAGAATAAATCTTCCTAATAGGACCACATTCAACAATAAAAACAATTTTTTTGGTAGACTAGAAAGGGATAGTACCTCTAATCTTATTGGTGTTGGGGTCCCCACTTTGAAGATTTACCCTCACATCCTTTACTGGTGACTGGTGTTTTAAAGGAAATTAATAGAAATATCTCCAATGGGGACAGAGTCAGTGATAAAAACCTGGCAGTGGTATAGACCTGTTCTAAAGAAAACAAAATGGTTTGCCTGGGGTTAAATTCATAGGGAACCAACAGGTTCTCAACCCCTCCCCAGCCACATATATTTACCTTTTTAAAGGGAAATTCTTTTTAGCCTTTGTAATATAGGCCAGACAGCAGTCGAAGGCAGCCGAGTCGCTCAGCCAAGTCACGGCTTGCTCCGTCCAATTGTAATCACAGATCAGCGTCCCCAAATGACCTGGGGACACTGATTTGTCATTAAACAATAACAACTGGGCGGAATCAGCGGTGACATCTTGGCTGGCTCAGCCCAGTTGTTAGTCATTGGCCTGGACTTTAAAGAAGACTCTAATAGGAAACCGTGGGCGGAGCTGTCACCGCTAGCTCCGCCCAATAAATTTTCTTTTTAACTTAATTTTTCTCTTCTTTAAATGTTTTTAATTTAAATGTTCCTATTTATTATCATTTTTCAAATAATTGTTCAACTGTTTTTTTCCCCATTCTTTTCAAATCTTTTCCATTCTGCTCGTTACCTCAGAGGTACTGGCGGCATTCGGCTATTCACTTACTGCTGTTCGGCCCCTATGAGAATAGGGATGAACGGCAGCGAGTGAGCTACCGGAGCTTCGACTCAGGCGATCCAGATGGTCGGCTGGCCGAAGGCAGCAAATCTACAGCTGAAATCAGCCGCACTGAGCCGGAGTGAATAACTAGCCGAACATCGTTCGGCTCACTTCACTTCGGCTCGATTTATCACTCGGCTGCCTTCGGCAGCTTTGTGAATAACCTTGTAAGTTACAATGAACATGTTGGGAAAGCACAGGTTTATTTGAAAGGATATCTACATGAATATTGATGCACCAACTGCACCTAGACCACAAACAGAGGGGCACCTTCAGTGTAGGTTCAGACCACAGCGTGCATATGTGCTGACATACGCTGATGATGAGCGTTATTGTGCGTCTTTGCATTGCTGCATTATAATGTGGGTGTTTTGGGTTTATTTTTTAAATACACATGCGTTTTCTTCTACCTAATGCTGCCCTGTGCGATAAAATGCTGCCTGCCTCCACCAACATGTTTATTTTAAAGGGTATGTAGTACATTAATATTGGTGAACTGACTGAACAAAGACCACAAACAGAAGGGCTCCTTCAGGGTAGGTTTATACCACAGCGTGCAAATGCATATGTGCACCTTTTTATTGCTGCGTTATAATGTGGGTGTTTTTTTTTTCTTAAAGACACATGCGTTTTCTTCTATCTAATGCTGCGCTGTGCAATAAAATCCTGTCTGCCTCCACCAACAGGTTCATTTTAAAGGATATATGTACAATAATATTAATTCGCTGACTACACCAAAACCACACACAGAAGGGCACCTTCAGGGTAGGTTCACACCACAGCATTTACTTCACAGTATATGTGCTGACATGCACTGATGATAAGTATTGCAGTGCGCTTTTGCATGTTCTGTGTTATAATGTGGGTGATTTTTTTTCTTTTTTTTTAAGATACATGCATTTTCTTCTACCTAATGCTGTGCCATGCAATAAAAACTGCCTGCCTACACCAACACATTGACCAACGCAGCCCATTGCATATGATGTGAACGATCCCAAATAGGCACCACATGTGTGCACATTCATTTTCTAGTAAACTTGACTGCATTGTGGATGTGACATGGATGTAAAGTGTACAGGTCATGCTGATGGTAGAAACAAATGGGACATGTTTGCATTGATAGGTCTGGTACAGTCAGACTCTAAAATAAAATATTATGAGAGAGAGACATTGTCCTGCAGAGACCTCTGCATATTCTGTAATCATAAAACTGCTGCAGTGCATCTCACACATACGTAACCCTCTGCAGCAATACTTTGTGGTGTTCTGCAGGAAGAAAATGATATACTGTCTACCTGTCAGTTTATAATTGCATTATTCAGTGCAGGGCGCAGGCTGTGTAAAGAGTGCTTTGACCCATGGATTGAATTCCTACAGGATATTCAAGTTACTTTAAACAAATCCAGGCTTCTAGAATCACTAACTGCAACTCTGCTAAAAAAAAAATCCTGATTCTTCCTCTGCAGTGGCAGTGCAGTATGAGGCCAGTTTGACTATACTGCAGTGCACGCATCTCTCACTGCTACCAGCCTGAAATGCACACTTTGCACCTATAGTCCCAAGCGTGTTTAATGGACTTGATGATGAGGCTAGCTAGTGATCAGCTGAATCAGTAGCTGCTGCAGTCAGACAGATGGAGCATAGGCAGGGAGAGAGGGGAGGATGCTCAGGAAGAAAGAGGAGGGAGTGGAAGTAATGGGCTGGGTGAGGAATCCAAGACACCTGTATGATGTTACCTTTTAAATAATACAGGACCTTAGCAAGCTTAGGTATAGGAAACCAGAGACAAGTCAGCAGAGCTTATTGTAAAAATCTACCTGCTGGTGTGTATAGCCTGTGTACTCTTTACTGCTAGGATCACTGACCCCTGAAAGAAACACACATATCGATACTGAGATAAACCTTGGAATTTTATCAGAGGAAGCACGCAACAAACACATACTCAGAAGATAATAAAGAAACGGTGGACATGGAAAAACAAGGAATTTTCTTCTGCAAAGCATAAGACAAAGGGAACTGCACTACCTGGCCAAGATCAAGAAAGAGGATTGCCCTAATGTGCAGTGACTTGAGAGCAAGGCAGAGTTAACTTGTAATTTGGGATACAGTCATCTTGTGTTTTGAAACACGGGAAGGATGGTGCATATTCCAGATGATGCAGACTTTAACTCTTTCCGGGAACAGTGCGAAAGCAACGAAGGCTGGCAGTGCCAATACAACAAGGGGGGAGTGACGGTGTGGAGTCAGGAGCAAGACAGCAGCAAGGCTGTGAAGAAGCTGAAGGTAAGTTCACATTTATTCCCTTTTATTGTAAATGGTCACCCTTGCTTCAGACTCCTCTGTTTAGTAACTTTGCAAGAGGACTCCAGAATACTTTCTCCATTACAAGCAGAGTCTGACATTGGTGTGCTGGAAACAAGAGACCCCTATGTAACATGTGATGTAGAGCAAAGGATCACTCATAAAGTGTGAAACACTACTTTAAACATTGCCATTTATTTTGCATTTAATCACACAATTGATTGTATTTCAACATTAATAAAGATCTGTTAACTTTAGTAAACCTTGTATGTTTTATGTGCAATAGAGTTAGACTATCACATGCTTAGTCAGTATGCTTTTACTATAAAGATGTAAGTGCCTAAAATGTCTTACACTTTCTGCAATACATAGGAACACCCCTCTTGTGGTGGCTTAATAATGAGCATTGGAGATTACCCCTAAGACTTTTAACAACCAGCTGCTGTGTTGTATAAAAGCAGTCTGAATGTTGCTTGGACTCTGTTTGAAGTTTTTAAGTTCTACCAATTTTTTTGTGCATTTCATTGGGCTACTACAATATTTTCCATACTCGAAAACTTACTGTTGGGTTTCTTTGACACTCACCTAAACTATTCCTACTTTCTGTGTGTGTGTATTACTGTGATGGGACATCAGGCTACTTCAGTTCATTCCATACTAAAAAACTTACTGATGGAATTATTTGGCTTGTGACTAAACAGTTCGTACTTTCTGTGTGTGTATATTATTGTGATCGGACACAAGATAAGGAACTTTAAGCATAGATCAAAGTTTTTAAGAATACCTAAAATTGTGCTACAGAAATTGCTAACTTATAAGAGTACATGTTTCATAGCTATCATCTTAACCCTGCCTTCAATAATGAGTAGAGCTGGCCATACACCTATAGATTATCTGCAGATTTTTCTATGGTCAGATGGAAAAAGTGCAACAGATTCCTCCATTTATGCTAAACTGTGTGGATGGAGGAGTCTCCCACTGGACCAAGCTTTAGTATCTTGCTAGTCGGCCCCGCTTGCTGTCAAAATACCTGAACAATATGATTGAATGCAGGCATTGTTCAGGTATTTTGAGAGCCAGCGGGGCCGACTAGCAAGATACTGAAGTGGGAGATTCCTCAATTCACACAGTTTAGCGCAGATGGAGGAATCTGTTGCACTTTTTCCATCTGACCATAGAAAATCTGCATAAAATCTATATGGCCATACCTATATATCTATGGCCAGCTTTATTCACTAATCTTGATTTAAGATGGCAGTTTAGACTTTTCAAAACTTTATTGAATGCATGCATGTTGAAGTGAGAACCATAATTCAGTCCACATCTGAAGGGGGGGGGAAAAATACCCAATTCAGATATCCATGACGTTTAGTGGTTCGGGTGAAATGTGTTCAGATCATTTCCAGCTTCTGGAGAACTCTGGCAAGTGCATTGATGCTAGCTATTTAACCTCAATATCACAGATTGCTATGATCATTTACACAGTGATTGGTGCTTTGTGGTGACACACTCCTTCAGTGCTATTAAGTGATGGCCATTCATCACAGGGATGGGTGGTGCACTGGCTACTATCTGTCAGTGCTTCTTACTTCTCAGTGGGCTTGATTTACTAATTCTAGATTACTTTAGTGGGTCTAGCCAATTCACACCAGATGCATTGCGGCTGCTCTGGCTGTCTTTTCCAGCGCAACCCCAATGCACTGACAATGCAATAGCTTTGCTGTTGTGGTGGTACGTGCTGGAAAACAGAACTGCATGCAGTACTTTTTTTCAGGGCAGCAGCGTGCAACGTGGTACAACCTTATCTCACTGCACTGCATGTGGAACTGAATTAAATGTAATTTGACATTTCAATAATGTTCTAAAAAATAAATGATGTGATGGCATCTACACTGTTTTTTTTCTCACCGCACATCAGTGGCCATGAGTTTAGCCTGGCCTGCTGCTGTGGATCATTCTTGAAGACGAGGGTGCAACTGGTGCTAAGAGGAATATGCAGGCTGCCATTACTGATCTCTTTCTGATAATGCCAGCTTTCTGTCTGCCTCTGGTTGCCATGCTTTGACCTGAAACAAGCCTGCCTCAAGTAAACTAAGAACACTCTGCATATTTGTTCCTTGGTAGTGACTTACGGTATAGAAAGCACTAGGCCAACATAACTGCATTTCTAACTAGCCTTTTTAGAAAGGCAGTTAGAAATGGCATTCTTTATATTACTCGGTGCATCTTTCCTTACGGTCTTATTCACACTTGTCCATTTTCATTTTGTTTAATGAAATTGGATTTCAAGCAGAAATGTAATTCTTTCCTATGTGGCTAGTTTACATCTATGCACATGGAACAGTTTGAATTCAGCCTTCACATGTATCTAAACCCAAAAGCAAAAATGTTCTATATTGCCGTTTACCAGACCTTTGATGTGGTGGCTGCATTAGTTTTGTTTTCTTCAGGCTTTTTTTGTATAATCTTTACATGGTGAACCTTCTAGTAATTCACGAACTGTCCTAAGGTGAAAAAGGCATTGTCATCCTAAGAGTGCAGCACAGACAGAGAGCACAGGAATCTATCAGCTCACAATGTTTTTGGCAAGATCAAAAGATATTTTTTTACAGGTATTTATCAAACTGATAAAACAACCTTCTTTCAAAAGTATATTTAATGGATCAGAAAGGAGCAAATTATAGAAGCGAATTGTTAGGATTTACATACACTTTAGAAATAAAAAGAAGGAATTGGTTTGACCTTTATGTGCTGTCCATGGTGCTGAAGGTACTGGACATGTTTTGTTTTTTCCTACATTTTATCAGTAAAATACATTTGATTGTGATCTTGTTCCAGGCCAGAGTCCAGAACCAAGTTGGGAGAAATACACTTACAATTTGGTATTCGGGATCAAAATTAAGCTTAACGTGTTTTAATATTTTAGAATATTTTTTTATGGCAGCAATTCTAGACCATGTGATAATGTTGTGGTAACATTGTAATAACGTGATCGCTTTTCAGCTGTTTGAACAAGATTTTAAATCGGAACATTTCCATTAAAGGGAACCTGTGGGAATAAAATCATGGGAACTGCCATTTCTGCCTTGCACATGTAGTCTGGTGCATATAGTGACATGGAGCTGCAGGTATGGTCAAGAGCAATACTTGTTTTCTAATCCCCAACTTGTTAATTGGCAGTGATGACATACCAGGACAGTAGCAATTGGTAATGTGTCCATAAGTGGCCAGACTGAGTTGTGCAACCAGATGGTTATCCTTCTTCTGCACGTCATTACAAGAGTACCCTCTGTTGCAAACACCACCTAGCACACATCACACCGTAGATATCGCTGCCATGCCATATTGCACCTTATCTCTAGGGAATTGAACACAGACATTTTGTCAATTTGGTTTCCTCCTGCCATTTCAAAGGGTAAGCAAAAATGGCAAGAACATCTTTGCTGTTCTATGCTTGGGAAGTTTTATGTTCCTTGTTTGGCTCACCTCATCATTTTAGAAATGCAGAAGCCTGAACACCTTTTTATTGCTAAATCCGGTATCTTGGCCCTGCAGACATTCATGTCACACGCTTATCTGCATTGTTACCAACCAGCAGAACTTAACCTGCAAATGCTAAATCTCTATGAACAAATGAAAGGAGGACTTCATAACCCAGCTGCAAAGTAGGGGGCATGTTTGCCAGCTGAAGGGGAGACTAGACTGATTAGTAGGAGCAACTGCAAAAAAAGAATGATGGCATTCATCTCTGCTTTTATTAGAAAAATTGGTGACCTGAATGCAGTGAGGCAAGAAAAAAGACGGAGTTCATGTTAAGGTAAGACCCATGTGGTAGCAATAAACCCAATGATGGAGTGATGACCATTTATAGGTTTTTGTCACTTGGTGAAATCCTCCAACTGTGGCCTCAGACTTGGCTCGATTGGCAGAGATGGTTACATACATATTTGCAGAGTATAATCATGTTTGCAAGACAACTATTGGGTAACTTATGGAACTGTTGCTATAAAAGCAAAATAGATGAATTTGCACAGGTAAGCAAAGTCAATATCAAACTACACTTTGCCCTAAACAGTTCCTTTTACATAGTACACGTGAGAATGTTGAAACTAGTGGGACTCCATTTAGGCAGTCTTTCTCTTTTTTTACTGTGCAAACACTGATAGTGGCTATATGTGTTGGGACTGCAGTTGATTTTTTTTTTTTTTTTTGGCTTTATCCTTATTCTTCACCAAATGGTCACTGAGCTGAAACAAGTATGGGGAATGGGCTTTCTGACTTTTTAGGCTTCACTCAATGTTCCAGAGCACGACAATAGATAGTGCCTGAGTAGAATAGCCTATCCCCTGCCAGTATGCTGCAGAGAAGCACCCTCACTCTCTGTATGAAAGCAGTGGTCTCTCTGCAGAGATCCAACACAGCCCCTGCTGAGTCAGAGCTATAGCTCACCAACAAATTGGCAGGAAACATGAGGTTTGCTTTCTACAGAGTTATGGGTCTGATTTCAGCTGGAGGTGTTTTAGACTTCTGCAGAGGGACCATTCTTTCCACGCTGAGAAACCACAACTTCCAGAGGAGACTAAAAGAAGAGGCGGGGAGAACTATAAGTCTTTGAACAAGTTTTGTTTTAATGCTCCTTTTTTTAATGTATTTAGTTGATTCACTTCAAAACTTTAACTCCTGTTGTGGTAGTTTTACTGTGAAATAATGCAAGGCTTAGATCTGAAGAGGTCCTAAATGTGACACAATTTGGTAATATGTGGAAGCCGAATGCTTGTAATAACTGTTGTGACACATGCTCTTTTCACTCATGGAGTAATATCCAATGGGCTTTCAACAAAGAATGGGTAACACATGATGGGTCAATTGATTATATTCCTCTTGAGGGGAGATCGGAATCCTGAAGCTGCTTGTCGGACCTATCAAGCATTATTGTGCAACCTGCTCATTGCATGCCTATGCTCCTATCAGTAAATGTGGAG